TTCATCTAACTTTAAGGTGTTTATATCCTGAGCTTCTTCAATAGCAGTCACCTTCATATCAAATTTCCTGGGAAGAGATCTTAGAATTTTCTGGACCAGATTAGCTTCTAGAATCTTTTCTCCAAGATGACTTGAAGTATTGGGTATATCAATGATGTTCATATGGAAGTCTTGAATACTTTTATCCTCTTTCATCCTCAAGTTCTCATACTTGGTGGTGAGAAGTTGAAGTCTTGAAGATTTCACCCTAGAAGTTCCTTCGTGTGCGGTCTTCAAAATCTCCCAAGCATCCTTGGCAACAGTATGATTCTTAATCAACCTGAATATATTCTTGTCAACATCATTTAACAAGGCATTAAATGCTTTAGAGTTACCTTGAGCAAGCTTGTCATCTTCATCATCCCAGTCTTCCTCAGGGTTTATCAGACCAGTGATCTTACCTTATTGATTTTAAACCTTTAGAGGATACCATCCTTTTACCACATAAATCCAAGCTTTACCATCCATGGACTTGATGAAGGACATCATGTGCACTTTCCAATACTCATAATTGGATTCATCAAGAATTAGGGGTCTATTCAATATTCTTCCTTCTTTATCCACTGTACCAGAAAGTATCGTCCCTGAATCTCACCCATATACAGAGCAGGATGCCTGCTCTGATACCAATTGAAATTCTGGTAGTAGACCTAAGATGTCCTGAGAGATGTTGAGACACTTGATCTCTGCTTCAAACATAATGACAATAAGGAGCAGAATACAAATTGAAGAAAATAAACAAACACACAATGATTGTTAACCCAGCTCGGTGAATAACAGCACCTACGTCTGGGGGCTTCTAAGCTAGGAATGAAATCCACTAGATAGTATAAATTATATGATAAACAACCTTCAGTTTACAACTTATCACTTAATCACTACCCATGATTAATTTCTACCTAAGACTCTTCTTAGGTATGAGACCCTTCTCAATTCCCTTTCGATCATAGCAGTGACTGAAATTACAACTCAATGTAACCTGTTCAACTCTAGTATCAACACGACACAAGAGAAGATCACAAATACAAACCCAAAACTCACTAGGAAACTATGTATTTTCCACACTTTTCCTATGTTAAATTCATCCTATATATAACCATAAACAAGAGTGGATTTGGGCTTCAAAACCGCAGCAATTATGTTCCACAGAATCTGCAACTAATTCTCCTCTAGAATAGTTTCTTCAATCCTAAGTTTCCTAAAGTGTCTCCACACTTAGAAACAACATCTTCAAATTATAATAAGAATTTGTTATTCCACAATCTTGGATGCCACCTAGAAAAAACAAATAATCCTAGAATAATCTGGAATCTGGATTTAAAAAATAGCACAATTAAAAACTGAAAAGTAACAGACAGAGATGTCGAATCATCATGATAGGACATCTTGTCCAACATCTTAATTTTCAGTTAGTTCTTCATGTTAAGACATCTTGTCCAACATCTTGCTGTCAAGTTAGTTTTACCAAAATTGATGCCAACCTCAAAGGCTTGGACTCATTAACTCGCTTATTAACGTGACAAAGTCTAGCATGCCGAATATTAAAATCACACAAAGAGTAAACAAAAGGAGAACTTTTATTCAAATCAACATTCAACTTAAATATGCCATCAATGGCGTACCCTTTCCCAACAAAAATACCATTCTTAGTGATGGTGTACAAATCTGCCCCAATAGACTGACTAAACCCTACCTTATTCAAAAGAAAATCAAAAGCAAGATTCTTCCTAATTTCAGAAATGTACATGATGTTCTTCAAGATTAAAGTCTTTCCTGAGGTGAAGTTCAGCTCAACGTCTCCAATTCCAGCAACATTGGTGGTGTGAGCATCTCCCAATAACACTTTCTTATCTTCAGCATTCGTGTATGTCTTGAATATAACACGATCATAGCAGACATGACGAAAGGCGCCGGTGTCTCTCCGCCAACCATCACTTTCACCAATCATGTTGATTTCAGTATCATAGCAATGAATTGCTCATCAGTCAGGTTAACATGTGCATTAAAGCCAACATGTTTAGGTCTGCTCTTACATCTCTTTATGACCCGGTTTTCCACAATTAAAGCAAGTGAAAATCGGGGCGTCATTTCTTTGAGTTGGTGGTTGCTGTCTAGCAATCGAAGCAGATGGGCCCCTTGAGGGATTCCCGTTCTTAATTCGATTCACAACATTGCGGCTCTGATTCTTTAATTGTTTGCCCGTAGGCTTCAGAACCGCGTCGAATCTCTTTTTGTTATTAGAAACAACTAAGACTTCATCCTTCTGATCTTGTATTCTAGATTCCTCTTCAATTCGGAGGCGAGTGATCAGAATCTCAATTGAAAACTCTTTTGTTTATGTCGAAGCACATTTTTGAAATATTTCCAACCAGAGGGAGTTTGTCAATTATCATAGCAATCTGAAATTGTCCATCGAGGGGCATACCTTCAGTTATGATTTCATGAGCCATCTTCTAAATTTCGTGGCTTTAAGCTTCCACAGACTTTTCATCCACCATCTTATAATTCAGGTAGCGGTTGACATCATATTTCTTTGCATCTGCTTCTTCAGTATCATATTTCTTCTGTAGAGTTTCCCATATCTGTTTAGCAGTGTTACAATTAATGTAATAATTGTACAGATCATTAGCAAGGTTGTTCAAAATATGGTTTTTGCAAAGATAATCATTATCTTTTCAGATGAAAATCTCGTTCTGGAGCTATAAATCATTTGCCTTAGTCTTAGCAGAAGAGTCTGATTCAGACGAGTTAAGAGTCCCGTTTGAATCCGCAGTTGTCTTACCATTAGTTTGTTCAGTTGATCCAGAAGGAGCAACAAGGATATCCTTAGTCAGAATATGGGCAACCTTCTTCAAAGTTAAGAAATTTTTCATCTTAACTTGCCAACGTTTGAAGTGAGAACCCTCAAACTTAAGTGGTTTGTCAAAGACAACATCGACTGTAGTAGTACCGATAATTTCCTCAGTAGCCATGACAATTACAAAAAGCGTCTTAAAACTGTTGTATTTCAGTTTTGAAAAAATTGCCACAAAGAACATTATCAGGACGAGTCGCTTACAAGTTCGCTTTCTTTAAGAAGTTTCGTCGTACTGCCAAAATTATGTAGTGCAGTCATGTTTCGACGACGTCTCCAAGATAAAACAGTCCGTTCAAAAAATACGATTATCACTTGCACTGTAATAAACCGTTTGTAGATATACACCTCTAGATAGTGTTTTAAACCACTCGTATCTGAAAATAATTCCAGTCGTTGATGGTGCGATAAACCACTCGAAAAATAAAAAAGGACATAAATAATTTGAGATGAAGAGAATAAAGAGGGAGAAGAAAGATTCTAAAAATTCAAAAATTTGGCGTGCTATGCAACTGAACTGATGGACCCTATTGATGGATAGGTAATTTAACTAAGTGGAGAGAAAATAATAGGAAGAAATTATTCAATCAAAACTAAATTAAAATTAAATTTTTATGAATGATACATTATAATTATTAATTAATAATAATTATTTAATTTCTACGTAATCAATTAGAATTAACTTCTACGACTCTTTCAAATTCAATTTAAATTTTTCCAACATCTTGATTATGTTCAGGGACAACAACATCTTGATTATTTTCACCCTTAATATATGATATTTTAGAAAATTATATTCATTTTAGACATTTTAAAAAAAAAGGGTATTGCAATAAAATAAAAATACAATTTTAAACAATTATAGTAAATTAATTAATATTATTTTAAAATGATAATTTTAAATAAAATTGGGACATAAATAATTATAAAAAAAAAATATTTTCATACAATGTAAAAAGAAAATTGATATTACAATAATTAGCGTCCAGACGGGCATTCCGACGTCCGTCTGTCCTCTTTTTTTAATGCACAGACAGATCAAAATATAAACGGTATTTTTTGTGTATTTATTTTTTATTTTAATTAAATTATTCATAAATTAATAAAAAATAATATAATAAAAGAGATATGTAAACTACCATATAGCAGTTAATAAAATAGAAGTTAAAATTTAATAAAAGAACTGGACATAATTGAAAAAGAAAAGCTACACGAAAAACAAGTTTTACATTTATATATAACTAGCGTTCAGACGTCTGTCTACTTTTTATAATACTCACATATGTAAAATATAAATTACATATTATTATTTTTAATTAATTTTTATTTTATTATTTATTATTTATAAAATAATAGTAGTATATAATAGTATAAAAGATAATAAATCATCGCATAACCATCATTTATTAAAAAGAGAAATAAAATTGAAAATAAAAATTAAAAATAAATAAATAAATATATATATATATATATATATATATATATATATATATATATATATATATATATATATATATATATATATATATATATATATATATATATATATATATATATATATATATATATATATATATATATATATATATATATATATATATATATATATATATATATATATATATATATATATATATATATATATATATATATATATATATATATATATATATATATATATATATATATAAAACTACACCTAAATCACGTTTTGCCTATAGGTATAGATTAAATAAACTAATGCATTTGATTTGATATGGACATTTTCAAGATTCATTGTTTATAATAAGTATATCACAATTAAATGATAATATAATGAAAATTTGAAGATAAAATGCAATAGATATACTTACATACAAATATATTTTAATTAGAATGAATTATAATTAAATATATGTACAATATTATAAAAAATTATTCAGGACTAAATCTCATAAAACTTGACCACATTGAAAATTTTCCTCAAAAAACAAAAACGTCCACATTGAAAATTTAATAAAGAAAAAGTGTGAAGTTCAGAGTTTGGGTTCAGTTGATTGCGTTTTTGCATTGAACTGATTCCATTTACTATCTAACAACAAAGAGAAAGAGAGAACAAGAAACAACAATGGATGCTTTAACTGTAACACCATCTTTTGCAACAGAATTAGCATCATCCCCTGAAGCTAAAATTACTGGCATTTTCACCTATCCAATTAAATCATGCCGTGGAATTTCTCTTCCTCATGCTCCTCTCACTCCTTTTGGTACCATATTTTCCTTCTTTATGATTTTGTATTTGAATTTAAATGGAACTTTTTTATTCAATATTTTTATTTGATAGGAATTCGATGGGATCGACAGTGGGTGGTTGTGAATTCAAAAGGGAGAGCATGCACGCAAAGAGTTGAACCAAAGCTTGCTTTGGTTGAAGTTGAACTTCCACATGAGGCTTTTCTTCAACACTGGGAACCTACTACTGATTCATTCATGGGTATGTTGCATTATATCATATTCTGTATTTATATGTTTTATTGATTAACACCCATGTTTCTTGTGACGCGTGAATTTTGATTGGGAGATGCTTGAAATATATAGTTGAGAGATATTTGACTTTTAGGTTCTGAAATTAATTTTTGATGAAAATAAATGATCATTGCCAAATACGGTTGCATGTGTGATTCCAAAAGTTAGGAGGTTCCTACACTGCAATTGTGGTGCAATGCAGTTGCGGAGCATCAGCAATGATGCAGCCACAATTGCAGCCACGGCCTGCAATTTAAAACCATGGTTTCCATGCAGGCTTTTAAATTGCAGTTGCGGTGCTGATTTGAGTTTCTAATCAAATAGATTTTGTATTTAATCGATTAGAGATTGGTTGCTTGTAGTGATTTTAGTTTCTAATAAATTAGATTTTGTACTTAATCGATTAGAGATTGGTTGCTGGTTTGTGTTTCTAATCAATTAGATTTTGCCTCTTAATCATTTATACGTAACAGTTAATTGATTCGTTAAGATTATCATAAATGGAAAATGTAAACTCTTTTTGAACAACATCCAAAAGAAGATGTGAGATAAAAGTAATTGATATCTTAAGAGATGTGAGCTAGTGCTAAAAACATCAAATGCTTGCCTAAACTGCACACAATGAAAGAACTTACACCTCTTTGTCTCTATCATAATCTTCATAAAGTCCTCAATCAAAATTGGTATAAAGCCAAATGTGTGACTCATCCCTCTTACCATCCTTTTTATATCTTATGCAGTTTGAACATAATTTTTAAATTTCAGTTTCTCTGTTTTGTTTCGTACATTGTGCTTAAGTTTCTTTTTGACAGATGATGGGCTTTTGTTCTGTTCTTAAGTTTGAGAGAATAAAACAACTGCACTAGTTGAAAAACTGACGGACTTTTGATTTGCATATTCTCCATTATCATGATTTTCTTTTTTCTTCTTCTTTTTTTAGTTAATGAATAGTGTCTCTTTTTTCATTTTACAGTGTTGAAAGCACCTGGAATGGAACCTCTCAAAGTTTGTTTGAACAAACAGTATGAAGTAGTAGATGATATTACAGTCTGGGAATGGAACGGTCCTGCCTGGGATGAGGGAGCCGAAGCATCGCAGTGGTTCTCAGATTATTTAGAAAAACCTAGTAAACTGGTTCGCTTCAATACTGGTAACGCCTTTCAAACCTTATATAATAAGAAAACAACGATAATAATGTTTAGAAGTATTTGTTACTTTAGATGTGTTAATGATTTGTAAAGGACTGTCTTAGAATTTCGGGTTGGACGGACCTATCTCAACTCTACATAATTGGCTTGTGCGAAGACTACTTTTATTTTTAAATATTCATTTAATACATAACAGAAATCTAGTAGAAAGTAGGTCTGACATATATTGGATATGTTCTGCTACCATATTAGAATTTTGAGTTGGGTGTCTAACTCAATCTTACGAAAATGACTTGTAAAGTTAGAATGTCTCGACTTATAAAGATATGTTCAAGTCATTATCTCATCTAATATAGAACTTTTAACATAGACTATAATGGTTTTCGGAATACATGATTGTTTACTAGGATTAACTTTTTGCTTTTATAGTAAATGTTGTTTAATGTAGTGTGAACAAAACTCAATTTAACATACATGAACTGCAGTCGCCATAGGCATGACATAAATAACCATGTTAATTCGTGACTAATGTTTTCAATTGCAGTTTCAGGAGTTAGAAATGTAGACCCTGATTATGTTGAGGGACAGCAGCGGACCTTCTTCAGTGATGGTTATCCATTCTTGCTCTTATCTCAGGTCAGGCCAGTTGCAGTTGAGAAACAAAGTTGAAATTTACTTATTTAAGTCTTTACTGTTTACTTTACATTTATTGCTTTCAGGAATCCTTGGATGCGCTAAACAAGCTTCTAGAGGAACCGATACCTATGAATCGTTTCAGACCCAAGTATCAATTTGTTCATGTCTTCTCATCTCCTGATATAATGTTTTTATTATTTCATAGTATATGTTACTAGTTTAGACTATTTAATTGAGATTTTGGTGGCACATGGTGCAGTATCCTTGTTGAAGGTTGTGAACCAAATGCTGAAGACCTGTGGAGAGATATCAAGATAAGCAGGTTTTCATTTCAAGGCGTCAAGCTGTGTGCCCGTTGTAAGGTAGAAAGTTCAACTCAATAATTTCCTACCTGTCATAGCTAACAAGATACTTAAGAACATAGAAAACCACATAAACTATTTAACTGATAATAAATTACATATGCTAATCCATGTTTTGCTGTTATTGATGATGCATATATTATGGTCAGGTACCAACGGTCAATCAAGAGACAGCAATATTTGGCACTGAACCAACAGAAACTCTTATGAAAGTTAGGTCTGGACATGTCTTGAGACCAAATGAAAATAACAAAAACAAGGTGGGACATTCAGTCATCAAATTTTCAATGAATGTCCCTTTGGTTTCATTGATGTCGAGTAACCTTTGAAATCCTTATGCAGGTCTACTTTGGTCAACTTATAGTGTGGAACTGGAAGAATCCTTCTGCTAAAGGAGATGGAAACATGCTTAAATTGGGGGATTCTGTTTACATCAATAAAAAATTCTCTTCTCCATCACAAGCAGCTGCTTAAAAGACTACAGCTACACAAACGTCATCAAATGATGAAATTAAGTGATTACATTTACATGATTGATGAACATTGCTTTGAGTAGTTGTAAATTATAACGCATCTATTGTGTCTAGTATCCAGTTAATAACATGACAATAAGGATTCTTGCAAACAATAAGAAGTCTTTTTAAGTGTACTTGTGGTGAGTGCTATAGATCTACTTTGCCTGCAATAAGGTATGCAAGAGTATTTATAGAGTTCTGATACGTAGAAAACCGAATAGTTTACTCAAATGTCTAGCTGAGTATTTATAGACGTGAGCTCTGGTGGAGAAGCCAATGGGGAGACCGGTTCTTATGCCTAAAAAACTATTAGAGTATTTATAGACACGACCACTAGGGACAAATGTAACTTCTTATTAGAGTCGTGCAAGAGAGAGAGGGCCAATCTCACCTTGTCGTAAGGACCAGGGGAGAGTTTTTCTATATGTATATGGGTGTCAATTATGACATGAGGGTTGGGATCCCTTTCACTGTGTTTGAATCCAAGGTCTTGCGAACTATCAACGTCGCCCTTTCCCAACTTCATCCAGAAAAGTTAGGCCTTCATCAATGGAGTTTGAGAGGGTTTGATATTATGTGCAGAAGTCTGGAGATAGCGCCTACTATAGGCATTTTCTTCTCTATCTATGTCACTAAAGGCATTGATAAGGGTGGTTGGGTCATTGCCAAGAGGAATATAGGCCCGTTTATTTTAACTTATGGATTTTTATTTTTATTTTTTAAATGAATTCTACAAAAATATTTTTTAAAATATTATTATTTTTTCAAATTTATTTTTTTATAAATTAAAAGACTAATTTTGACATACTATAATATAAACATATATTATTGAAGACCAAAACATAGTTTCAAAAAGTTGTATCTTAAAAATGTTTTTTATTAAAAATTATTTGAAATAGTTTAAAAGTTAATTGATTTTTTGAAAATTTGATATTCAAAATTTTTTCGATAAAATAATAAAATACATAAAATATCATTTTAAGAATAATTATTCAAACAAACTGCCCATATTTACTCCATATTTTCCAATTACAAGAATTCGAGGATCGGTTATGCAGTTACGGGGTAAAAGAGAGCGTTCAATGATTACATTTGAAGAGCCCGACAAATATCTCCTCTGTGTTAGGAAAATGTCTTGTCCTGGTAAATGGTCTTAACCATAACAAGTTGAGCGCGACAGAGAAAGTGATCATCGGCATCTTAGAAGATTTGTATACTTTTTGATTTTTTGATCATCGACAGATAATGAAGTGTTAGACTATGAGATTTTTTTACTTATGTTGTTATTTGTGTTAACTTTTTGATTCTTTTGTAGAGAGGATGTGTTAGAAATTTGGGTATGATAATCCTGGATAATTTCGAAGAATCGTGTTCGTACACTTTTCGAACAAAGTATTTCGACCTTATTCTTGCCTGGGTTCACGAAATCTTTGTGGGGATAATTCTTGAAGAACAATCTGTTTCTGGAAAAAGAGAACTGATCAGGAATGTAAAGAGAAAGTTTTTGTTTTCCTGTCACCGAAACCGAGGCCAAATGACTCCTTATATAGGAGATCAATAACAGAAATCGAAAAGACACAACTGTTCAGAAAACGGTTATGTCGGTTAGGGGCTTCGCCCCTTGAAACCCCAACGGGGCGCTGCCCCGCACCCCGCACCCCACCAGGGGCTTCGCCCCTTGGAACCCCGTTTCAATTATTCGCATTCAATTATACGTTGGCTTGACGAGCATGCACTCCGCACTATCCTAACTCGTTTCCAAGCTTAACGCATAATTGCATCGGCCTATAGTAAATCACATTACTACTAAAATACATTGATGATACTAAAATCACCAACAAATTCCCCCCATTTTAGTGTAATCCTTGATTTACTCAGTGTATACAATAATATATACAAGGGTATAACACATAGGTATAACGATCAAACAAATGCATAGACGAAAATGTCTTGCGATTGAATTTTCATCTTAGTACAAATACACATTCCAAATACTCGAAAATCGGAGTGTCATATCAATTGAACCCGTCAATCCATTTGAATATCTGAAGATATAGTACACATATGTTTCTTACAACACTCTACTATTCATACTTGACACTTTACAAGCCATGTGTCCTTATCCATTAATAAGCATATAGGAAGCCAAGTTCAAGCTTCCTGAAGCGGCAAAACTTCATGCTCACATAGGTGATCCTTTTAATCTTGCACCTGCATTTGCAATTTTCCAAAAGAACCATTAAGAAGATATACTTCAACCTAGCCATCACTTGCAGGTCTGAGCACATACCTTGGGAAGATAAACATAATTGCTCCAATCTCTAACTATGATCTTTCCATATTGAATTCTGCTTCTAACGTTGTATTAGAAGGGAATTGGGTATACCATAGATAATAGATTTAAATGGACTTTAATCCCATCCCAATTACCGACTTCTTCACTAAGTCTCTAGCTAACCCCTTCGTCAAGTGGTCAGCTAAGTTTTGTTGCGGCCGAACAAACTCAATAGATATCACCCCATTCATGATTAATTCCCTAATCATACTATGTCTAACACCCAAATGTCTAGACTTTCCATTGTATATTTGACTATAAGCTTTAGCCAGTGTGGAAGTACTATCACAACAGATAGAAATTGGTGATATCGGTTTAGGCCATATTGGAATCTCATATACCAAGTTCCTTAGCCATTCCGCTTCTTTACCAGCAGCAGCTAATGCTACAAACTCAGATTCCATTGTGGAACCAGTTATACATGTTTGCTTCTTGAGATGGCACCTCCCCCAAGCAAGAACACCCATCCACTTGTGGAGGATGAATCTTCAGCATTATTTATCCAACTAGCATCCGAATAACCCTCTAACACCGAAGGAAATACCATATAAGACAAACCATAATTCATAGTACCCTTCAAGTACTTGAATACCCTAGTTATCACATGCCAATGGTGTCTACTAGGATTACTAGTAAATCTTCTCAATTTTCCAACCGCATAAGCAATATCCGGTCTAGTGTTAATCATAGCATACATCAAAGAGCCTATAGCTCTTGAGTATTCGAGTTGATCCACAAGTTTACTTGTATTTGGCATAAGCTTTTCTCCCGAATCCATGGGAGTACTTACTGGAAAACAACTTTCATAATTGAACTTCTTGAGTAATTTCTCAATGTAATGAGATTGCGTAATTACAATCCCCTTATTCTCCCGTTTAATCTTAATACCAAGAATAACGTCCGCTTCTCCCATATCCTTCATAGAGAACTTTAATGACAAGAAATTCTTCGTTTTATCAATTTGATTTTGGTCGGTGCCAAAGATCAACATGTCATCAACATATAGACAAATGAAAACTCCTTTACCGGATGTATCAAATTTGCTATATACACATTTGTCAGCTTGGTTTAGAATGAAACCATTAGACAAAACAACCTCATCAAACTTTTGATGTCACTGCTTCGGAGCTTGTTTCAGCCCATACAACGACTTAACTAGCTTACACACTTTATGCTCATTACCAGGCATTACAAATCCTTCAGGTTGCTTCATATACACTTCTTCTTCCAAATCACCATTCAGAAATGCTGTTTTGACATCCATTTGATGAATCACTAGATTATGAATAGCCACCAAGGCAATCAACAATCTAATAGTAGTGATACGGGAAACTGGAGCATAGGTATCGAAATAATCAATCCCTTCCTTTTGTCTGAAGCCTTGGATAACTAATCTAGCTTTAAACTTGTCAATTGTACCATCGACTTTCATCTTCTTTTTGATGATCCATTTGCAACCCAATGGTTTGCAACCTAGTGGTAAATCAGATAATACCCAAGTATTATTTTCCATGATAGAACCAATCTCTTCATCAATTGCTTCTTTCCAAAAACCAGAATCTCGAGATTTCACAGCTTCATCATACGTTCTTGGATCCTCCTTTATACTATAGCAATAACAGTATTGAGTATCAATCTGATCCTTTGATCTCTCAACTAAATATAGTTAAAAATCAGATCTATAAGATCTAGATTTTCTAGCTCTTTTGCTCCTACGGGGTTCAAGTGTCTCACTTGGCACATCATTTGAATGATCATCCCTTAGAGATTCATCTAAATTAGGTATAAAGACCTTTGGTCTAGGTACATAAGAGAAACAATTCTCATCAAATATGGCATTTCTTAATTCTATAATTGTGTTAATAGAAATCGAGTCATTAGGTTCTATAACATAAAACCTATAGGCCTTGGAGTGCTCAACATATCCAACAAAGATGTAAGCTATACCCTTTTCACCCAAAGTTTTCCTTTTTGGGTCCGGGAGTCTAACCACGGTCCTACAATCCCAAACACGTAGAAATGTTAAGTTGGGTCGTTTCTTATACCAAAGTTCATATGGGGTAGTCTTGTTCCTTTTATTAGGAACCCTATTTAACAAATAGCAAGTCGTTAACATAGCTTTTCCCCAAAACCCTTCACTCAAACCAGAGTAAGATAACATGGCATTCACCATTTCTTTAAGAACTCTATTTTTCCTTTCAGCCACACCATTTTGTTGAGGTGTATAAGGTGCCGTAGTCTCATGAATGATTCCTACGGATTGGAAAAATACAGGATCATAATATTCACCACCTCTATCTGTACGTAATGTTTTAATCAGCACATTCTGTTGTAATTCAACTTCAGGTTTATAAATTTTGAATTTATCTAAGGCTTCGTCCTTAGCGTGCAACAAATAAACATAGCAGAGTCTAGATGCATCATCTATGAAAGTGACAAAATATTTTTTATGCCCTAATGATGGAGTAGCATGCATATCACATAAATCACTATGTATCAACTCAAGAATGACAGATTTCCTTGCTATACTTTTAAAAGGTTGCCTAGTGATCTTTGTTAACATGCAAGTTTTACACTTTTCTACATTTTCATCAAAAATAGGAATTAAATCATCTTTAGACATT